AATATATATATATTATATATATATTTTTGAGTTGTTAAAAAGTGCCTTACTAACAAGTATGCTTTAGAGGGCTAGCCCTTTAGCTCAGTTGGTAAAGCATGTACATAGATGTATGAGAGGTTTCAGGTTCTAATCATAGAGGAGGATATATGTATGTATATATATATATATATATATTTGTTTGTATGTATGTATATATATATATATATATTTACTGTGAAAAAATAAAATTACCACAGTAGGCCTGTTATATCAATTTGCACTTCCTTCTCAGAGTTTTGGTGTTTATTGGAAATTCAAATCCTGTACTAACATTGTTTTTTGATGTTTAATTATACTGCAAATTTATCTGTTCAAAAAGAAGTACACTTTTTCTGATGAAAAATTCTATAAAACTTTCCAGATTCCCGCTCACTTTTTAGGTGTCCTTGTGACCTGATGCCTAGTACTGAGTAGTAGTAGTAGTATTGAACAAGCCTTGGGTGTTATCCATATCCAAGGGGTGAGGTGATAAAACAACTTAGCAAGGCAAATACAACTTTCTTAATGACCATGTTGGTTGTAACTTGGCTTGAGATGGTGATTCATGATTGTTAAGTACTACATATATCCTGTTTACAAGGTCATAATTGAACTCACATTTGTATGAAAATATGTAAAACATTTCTAAATATACATGAATAAAGATATATTCTGTTATAGTTATGGAAAGGTAAGTTTGATTGTGTACATACATGTATGATAAAAGTCTGCATGATTATTTTGAAGTTGGGAACATGTATTTTTTTATTAGGATAAAACTTCATATAAGTTTGATAACCTCTAATACTTTCAGTAGGATGATGCATGTACTTCACACATTCATATTAGTAGCTTTTTTATGTACCACAATCTTATAATTTCTTAAGACACAAACATGAATCTTTGTAACATACAATGTGTACTTGTAATATTTTTTCTCATATTTCTTAGATTCAGTTTATCCGTTATAAAAAACGTCCTACACCTGCAAGGAAGAATATTTGGGAACCCCCTGCTCCAAGCAAATACTTTCGCATCTCACCAAGACCTGTAATTCCAGTCAAAGAACAAGAAGAACTTAAACATTTATATGATATTTACAGGACTCATTTTAGGGCTTTGAGGTGAACTAAAATTTCTAACAGTATTTTAACACTTGGTGATTATTTTAGTTCAGAAGCTTGATTTTATTTTTAAAAGTAATTCAAATTATGTTTTAAATGTTCTATCATTGTTAAAATGATAGCAAGCTTGAAATTTTCCAAAACATTATGTATGATGATATGGTGTGAACATCTTTTCCAAGCTTATAAAATATGTATATAACTCATTATGCTTGTCGTACGACATTAGTATTAAGCCTATTATATTTTTTTAGCTCTGCATTCTTTAATAGTCCCTTAGGGATTTTCAAGAATTGGAATAGTGTATTATAATAATAGTATTCCAATCACAGTCATCATTCAGTACAAAGCTTATTAGGCTACCTGGGACACAACAAAACACAGCAGTGGTCAGAATGCAATTTATATAAGCCACTTGTTATAACAATAATTGTTATAGTGTAAACACCTTTTCCAAGCTGATGAAGCATGATTATAATGTTGCGTCAGCGAGTCACGTGACTACTATGACGCAACGTTTCTAGAATTATCATGTACTTTGTCGAATGTTCAAGTATTTACTAGTAGGGTAGGCTGGTATATATATATAAGAGGGGAAAACGTGACGCGGGAAGGTAATGTAATGTGTGTGTAGATAGTGAGTAATTGATCTGTGGTCGGAGTATTATTGAC